AAATGTTCATTGATCAGACAAAATACACATTATTCTTAAAATTAGCATGACCAAACTTCTTGGCAGAAACCGTTATTTATACTTATTTCCAATATCATGAATACTTCACAAATCATACTGTATTTATACTTTATAGTAACAGTTCTACATACACATGGTCTTTATTATTTTAAACGGTATAATACAAAATATAAAAATATCTTCAATAAAACATTCAATCTTATAATATAAAACAAAGATAAAACGAACATGAACGGAAGTCTAGCGCCATTTACATTTAAGCTATACAATAAACACAAGATACACAAATGGCATCTAAAAGGAGGTAATTAAATCATTTGAATAAATGCAGTACAATTTGGTAAAAATATTTTAGGCGACAACATTGTCGTGGTAATACCGAGTATTTGCCGTAGAACCGTAATATTTAATTAATGCATTATTGTTCAGGATAGCACTATATACAGATTGCTCCTCCACATGTTTGTTCCGGCTTTGTCGGAAATTCCGAATTTGATCCTGAAAACGACCCGTAAAAGGGCCTTTTCCGACAACAACAAAAGCGATCGAGGAGCTCTGTCAGATCATTCCTTTCAGTATCATCCCTATAAAGACCACTAGACGCTTCGTCTGTACACGCTGCTATGAACGTATGCAAATCGTTTTTCGGAAATCCGTCACGATAATAAACCTTGATTGTGTCATAGGCATCCATTATCACAGAAATGAATAAACTTAAAACCACATAAATGTACAATGAAATAAACGTGTATAAATAGATTCTAGAGTACCACCATAGCATTGGTGATTTAAAGGACGTTATGGTAAATGTGGCGAACATGTCATCACCATTTATAAGTGCAAATAAACATTCAGATGTTGTGGCAAGTGATCGAAATTTCATGTGATATGGGCCCAAAATCAGCCAACCAGCGAACGTAAAACCAGCGTAAATGAGAATCGCACAAAGCAAAAATCTTGCCACTTTTGGGGCAGCTTTCTTTAACGTCAAAATAACAACGTTATATGTTTTGAAGAAACCAAGGTAACGCAGAACGCCGAACCAAACAAGTAAATTACCTGTCCCTAGAAATATACTGCATACATCCCAATTATCTCTGCTGAATTGTTTTCGTTCGATCTGTTCTTTCACAGCCGAGCCAATGATGATTAACAGATCGTTTACAATAATCATTACGTACCATAGATTTAAAAATTCTATTCTTCCTTCGAGACTCAATACTTTGCCATATGTTTTCTTAAAGAAACTCATGGTTTCGAATTTCAGTAGTTGAGCTCTATATATAGATCTTGAACACAAAACAAGAGACGTAGTACAAATTAGAATAACTAACAAATTGAGTAATGTCCTTAAAGCTGCCTCGATACGACTGTGGGTGATATAACGCGTGTCACCTTTGCATTCCAATCTTCTTGGTACTGTGTCTAGCGAGAGCAACATTTGCCCATCGAAATCACGATTATCAAAAATAATTTGAATATTAAATTCATAACAATCTGGTGGTGTCATTGGTCCAGCAGCTTTTAAGTTAACTGTTTTTAAGGCAAATTTTAAATGTGCGCTGACAAGGGCTGAAAAATTTACTTTGATATTTTGTTCAGATAAAAAGTGCTTTGACGTATTGAATTCTTTGTAAAATTGATGAGTTACATTAATGCATGTTTCTATAATCTCTTTGTCGAACACATAACTTTCGTTGAAACCAAATATGATAACTTCTTTGTAATGATATAAACATAGGACAGCTGGGACTACCGAGTTATCTTCTGCAGTGTACGAATATGATCCAATTGCATTACTAAGATTGTAATAACCATTCAAAGCAAAATCGATTGTACTATAGAAGTCTTCTTGTTTGTAGATTGCAAATGGACCTGTAGCTGGTGGATAAGCTGGTACCTGGAAACAAGAGTGATCAAATTAAAATTTTAATAAAACTGCAAATTTTATGCACTGGCTATATTATAATAATATATTACCTCTTGCATAGCGTCCCATCCTTGGAGGAATAAATGAGAGAATGCTAATCGATTATCCCAAGCATAGTTTACATGCATGTAATTGCTATGAGCAAATAGACACAGCTGTGTGGTAACCAACACAATTTTAACCACTTGAACAATAAATTTATATGGAAAACGACGCTTTGCCTGCCACTTCTCAATAGGATTCATAAAGAAGAACTTCAATTTTCTACGCATCTTTTCTTCTGCGAACGTAGTCATGTTAGTAATTGGTGACGATTGAGAGTGACTATAACAGGAGAAAAATTTTCATTGAAATTAAAAAACCAAACTTAATTTTCAGCTCTGTACAAATTTACATAGCACGAACTTCCTTAGTAAGCAATAAATAATTTTCTGGAGGAACTAGTACTAGGACCGCATCTATGTAGTTAAATAACGTATCTTCAACGATATGATATCAAGTGCAATAGCCCATAGAAAACAGATGACATGAACCAAATGACAAAGAAAAATCAGTGATACAAAAGTCGCATTACCGCCCATTACTGATTAAACGATTACACAGAGCTAAATGGGAGAAGACCGTAACAATGATTTCATCGCATTCTCCGATTACGAATAGACGTAAATATACTCGGCTTAATAAAACGACGAACCTTGGACTAGCATTATTGCCGTCGAGCAGTCCATTTTCACCTCCAAATTCATCCTCGTCCGGTCCATTACTCCACGAATGGTTCCTGAGAATGTTTCCTCTGGGCTCTTCTTGCAAATTTCGTTTGCGCGGCTCTGTCATTTCGTACGCGTCGCGTTTTGGAACGACACTTGAATGGACCCAAATTGTTACTAGAAAAATGATCTATCCCGCGGAATTGTCGTCCCAGTTTCCGACGGACGATGAAAGGCTGAGTTGTTCACATGCGTTGATCTGCGGGGAAACACCACAAAGATTACTCATTTACATCGGGTTCTGTCCCGTGATCGAGCTTCTTTGATAATGATTGGAACGTACTGGATTGCAATACACAATGAAGAAAGATCGCAACAATTTCACGTTGTTAACAGCAGCCATCGCAGGCCACACAATTCACGAACCAAGTTCGACTGACTGGCGCGCCGGCGCGCTGCTTCGGTCATTCGTGAAACCAGCTGATCACACGGAAGGGATAGCGGCGGGGGTGACGCCATATGCTTCCACAAATGCACGCGTACGCACGTATGTATAAGTATGTATGTATGCATGATGAATGTACACCGTGATACATGGTTTTATCGCATACTAATTGAGATTTACGTTCGCGATCATCAAGGCTTATACATATAAACATAAATCATTCACTTTTAGATGTGGCATTCGATTTTATTTCAAAGAATACCGAAAGATTAGATTTAACACTTTGACCTCTCGTACAGCGGCGTGCCGCATCTACCGGGTGAACATTATAATTCTGAACTACGATCGCGACGCAGAGTCTATGTCTGATCGTTCGTAATTATAATGTTCACCCGGTAGGTGCGCCACGCCGCTGTACGGGACTCCGGCCCATGCGTTATCTACCCCCACTTCTACGATGACTTATTTCTCTGAGACCCTTGGTGGTACCGCCGCGCCGGATGCGCCGCGCAGTGCAATATTAGTATAAAATAGTAAAAATCAAATACTTTCATTGCTATTCGTGAATATATATACGATGTAATGAACTATTTGTATGCGCATGGAAATTGTCGAATTGAATGGTATATCTCGAAAACTCGATATCGCTCAAAGGGCGAAGTTTCGAAGCAACAGGGCTAAAAGCGGAACCATCAATTACCGGAGTCTATGAAACCAAAGGGCAGTTGCGTGGCAAGATGGGAAGTTCACGTAACAGTGGATGGGTAATCGGATCAGCGGACGCGAACTCTTTCCTCGCCGGCGGAGTTCGTTCGATCAGAATGTTGTCAAGGAGTAGAGTGAATTCGATGGGGAGTCCAGCGGAGCGTGGGCTCAAAGGGATCAGCGGATGGAATTTAACAGTAATCAATTAAAGTGGGATTCTTTGGGACATACATAGTGACGGTAACACGCGGACTGGTCTTCGCGAGAGGTGATCGAATGACGAGGGGGTGGTGCGCGCGTTTCCCTCTGGTTTTCGAGGATCGGCGCGCGTTCTCGGTGCACCTTCTGCGCCAGCGTGTCAGTCCTCGCAACATACACACGAGTGGTGCGTCCTGCCGCGCGCGCGAAGTGGCCTAGGAGAGGAAGCGCAGCGACGAAGCCGAGCTGAGCTCGGCCTTCCTCGACCGATCGTAGGCGCAGTCTCTCATCGTCAGTCCTTCTCGTTCTTGGACCCGAGAGAGCACACTTTCGGGGTCAGATCCATCCTTGGTGTCCAACAACCTCGTCGCAGCCTCAGCTGTCCTCGGTCACCGACCCGTGCATCCCATTCTTATTGTTCACGCGACCCTCGCCGCTTCTGTGACCGTGTGTTGTGTTTCGGAAGTGTTACATTGTGAGGTGAAGCCGATCCCGTCGTCGCACCAACGAGAATAAACAGAAAGTGGCCGCACGATTGTGGTTTTCCCCTTTTCTCCCCTCTCTCTCTCTCTCTCTTTCTCATTCTCCTTCTCCCTCTTTCCCTCTGTTTGTCTCGCTCTCTCTCTCTTTCTCTCTGTCTCTCTCGAGCGACACTGTTCGCTCGCAGCCTCACAATCAATCCGAGGACCACCGCTGTTTCTAGCCGACTCGCACACGGTTGTCGTTGACTGGATTCGCGCGACGGGTCGAACCGACATACCAGAAGCATGGTGGATCAACAGCAGCCGGAACAGCAACAGGAAGCCGTGCCAGGCGTGGTGGAGCTGAACGTGGGCGGTATAATTTACACCACCGCGCTGACCACCCTCACCCGGGAGAGCAACTCTCGTCTCGCCACTTTGTTTTCCGGGAAAACGCCGGTCGAGAAGGACCGGAAGGGCAGATACTTCCTGGACCGGGACGGGGTGCTTTTCCGTTATGTCCTCGACTTTCTGCGGAATCAGGCGTTGGTCCTGCCCGAAGAGTTCCGGGAGAAGGAGAGGCTGAAGCAGGAGGCGAATTTCTACGGTCTACCTGGGCTAGAGCGTGCAATTTTGGAGAACAAGTTTACGAGCTCGACGGGAAAAAGACTGACCGGGTACATTACCGTCGGCTATCGCGGCAGTTTCGCGTTCGGCCGCGAAGGCCTGGCGGACGTGAAGTTCAGAAAGCTGTCGCGGATACTTGTGTGCGGCCGCGTGACTCTCTGCAGGGACGTGTTCGGCGAGACGTTGAACGAGAGCCGGGACCCTGACCATGGTACCTCGGATCGTTACACGTCCAGGTTCTTCCTGAAGCACAGCTGCATCGAGCAGGCGTTCGACATGCTCCAGGAACAGGGATTCAAGCTGGCCGGGAGCTGCGGTTCCGGCACGGCTGGCGGCAACTCGGAGCAGCCGAAGCCCGGCACGGACGCCGAGGAGAATCGTTGGAATCATTACAACGTGTTCGTTTTTTGTCGTGATTAAATAGAGTTCCACGTTCCTCTTTGGTCTGATTTAGCTGAACGAGTCGGTTGTTCGGTATAGTTGGTGTCTTCTTTGCCGGGATCGACGATCGCCCGGTTCCAGATTACGGAGAAAAAAAAACGGCACTCGGAGGGTCCCGGAACCGTCGTCGGCGGTGCAAGAAACTGCTGCTGCCCGAAGATTCTCCTTCCGGGACCGATCGCAATTGGTAGAGTAAAGAGTAGAATCAACTTCCCGTGAACATTGTACATGTACGAGTATTATTCAGATTAATCGGGCTACTAGAGCGACAATGTCACGCATTCCTCTTTCGAATGTTCTTTACTCATTGCCTCCACCGAATGAATCCTTTAAACGGCGGAGCCTCGTTCAGATTGCCCAAGATTTGTCCCGCGTGCGAGCGATTCAACGCTCGGCCGAACGCCGGGCCGAGGCGTACCCCAAGAACGAAGCGACGACACCAGGTTCAGATTGATTCTGCGGGACAGGGGCTAAATTGGCCGCGGTACGACGGCCAAGACCATCGGAAGTAATATTGGAGACGACGAGCGGAATGATATTTGGTCGTCGAATCTTCCGAAGTTTGTTTCTCCGCCCGAGTTCGCCGAGAGCCGCGCCGGCGGGAGCATGGAAGTTTGATCGAGCTAGAAAAAACGAGGCTTTACACGAGGGAATACAAGACAATGGGACGATTATTATCCGATCGACGAGACCAAATTTTTCAAAAATCGAACGTATTCGCGACCTCACGCTTATCTGTCTACCGATCTACTCGCTAGGGACTATAGTACTCGTCTATTTATAAAAAACGGCACTATTTCGCCGCACGGATTCGCAAACTAAACGTCGGCGCTTGTGATTCGAAGACTTGTCGAACCTGTCGCCGAACCGTGGATTTTTTCGATTTGAAAACGAAGGGAAAAGAACGAGGAAGAGAGGAAGAGAGAGAGAGAGAGAGAGAGAGAGAGAGAGAGAGAAAGAGAGAGAAACGCTGTGAGAGGATAACAGTTTAACGAGACCAACTAGCGTGAATCAATCAATCAATCACTCAGAGTCTTAACGATTATTTTCAAACGGATACTAACGAACAGACAAAGAAATGTAGAATAGATCCCGGGTTGGCCACCCAACAAGTTTCCCTTCTCATCATCGTAATCAATCCTATTATTCGGATGGATCAAGAAACATAGATGTTCAAGACTCGGCTTCAAACAACGCTGGTCGACTGTTCGAGGTTGGGCTTGATAATTGGACAGGCTGGACGTGCACAAGAGACGCGTGGTGTACGTATCGTGCAAACGTAGATTGCGTGTATGTACACGCCGCCGCGGTGTTTAAGCACACGTTGTCGAGCGAGTTGTCGAATTTGATCGCTTTAGGTCGAGAGCGTTTCTCCTCGGAACGGTTCTTCGTTTCGTTAGAATCTTAAAGGAGGCCGGTCAGTCAGCGTGCTCGCGAGCGAAACGAAAAACGACGTAAGTACATATTAGACGGTACGCATTACACGGAATCGGGCACGTTTCTCGAGAATCTAATCGTCGGACGGATTTCTTATCGCGACCGTTTAAAATAGTCGACTCCGTAGCGGAAGAGACAGATGTATGTATGTATGTAATCGGTACTGGATGTTTCTTTACCTGCGTGGCAAGTCGCACGGCATCCATTCGTGTTGGCCAAGAAACGTGTGGATCGGAACTTCGAATTAACGGGAGGTAGAGCAGCGTGTTGTGTTCACGATCTGAACGAGAATTTTGTCGACGGAAAATGCTCGGTGCGTTAGCCGGCGCGAGGTAACGAGCGGAATGAGACTGACGTCGACGTCGGTGCGACGGACGCGCGAACTCTGGTTCGAATTCTCAAGCGCGGATATCTTCTCTAATCGTATTACGGGGCGAACAACTACCAACGAAACCGGATAAGACGATCTGCACACGATGACGCTCGCGTTTTATCGAGTTACCATTGTATCAGCTAGATCTGAAGAGGCTCGCGTATACGCTCGCGCGATCCGTGGCTTCTGTTGAGCAAGCGTCCGCGTCCGTGTTATCGTTTCAAAACAAATTGAATCTTCAACGCGATCCCAGCCACGGGCAGCAACAAGTCATTTCAATGCGGAGAAAACAAAATGATCCGACGCGCGCGGCGGCACGGAACGGAGCAGGACGGAGCGGACTCGTCCCGGGAACCGCACAAATTTGCCTCTGGATTTCGCCGAAGCGCCGGCAATTTTTCAAGATGAACGGGCGCGATCGCGTCACACGCTAAACAAATGGCCCTTTCAAGAAAATTTAAATATCCGGACACCAGGGACGCCCGGCATGAATTCCACTCGATCTAAGTAGATCCCACTCGGCCCGTATTTCTATTTCGGATTTTTCGTACTTACACGCATACTGGAATTGATAAAGAATTCCGTTCTACCAGTTGCAAGACAATCTTATCGGCGTAGAACGTAAATCAGACTTTTTCGTCGTGTCGCCTCTCTTATTAGACGCCGAATAGAATTGTTTGTAATGTTCCATCGCGCACGATGGAGGCGGTTCCCGGACTTTGCAAATCTTTGACGTCCGTTCGCAGAAATATGATTGCGGCCTGCCTCTGTAAACAGGAATGTCCACGAGTTCGCACGTGACTTTATGATCCATCGGATCTACACTGCCGCTCAAAAGTATGTGGACACCTTTCCTTAACTCTTACTAACTATTGAAAAAAAAACATTTGCGAAATCTTTAATAAACTCGATTAAATTTCACGTACGCCACAATATCAGAAATCGCGTTTAACCAATAATTAATCAAATCACTCACCAATAATAATAAGAAAACAATTGTATCTTCTTCTTATCAATATATCCCCCGTGTGCTTTTACAATCGCATTTATTAGTTGTGGCGTTCTAGCTGTTAGTTTTTTCATCACTTCGTTGTCAATTGGACTCCACTCTGATTGCAAAACTTCTCATAAATGTTTTAAAAAATAAATGTTTTAAAAAATAAATCTTTCTCTTGCGTAAACTTTTACTTATTTAAAGGATTTAAATATTTAAATTTTTCAATTCGATGTTATCATGGTACATTACATGTACATGCATTCACAATAGAATAAAAAAAAAAATTTAGCAATAATCACTTAATAATAAATAACTAAATTGGTAAGCGATCAACGTACTTTCGAGCGACAGTGTATGTACACTCTCGTTCATAAATCACGGGCTACATTAACAAACGTGTCTTGAAAGCAGACTCAAATGTTGTTTGATTTCTATGATAAACGTTTCCGAAATTTTTAATAATAAATTTTTAGTAAATAATTTTAATTTACTCTTTCTGGTACCGAACAAAAACAAATCAAATGCCTACGAAGATAATGTATTCACCTAACTTTTCAATGTCATTCTATTTTCCTATTAGCTTTTTAAAGGATCTTCCGCGCATCAAAAACCTAAATTGCGTCACCGCAACTTAATTATATTCAAATATGACCGTTGCAACAATAAAACTTGGTAATAGTCGCCGCATTCGAATAATTTCTTCCGGAATGCAGTCGAGTTTAAACTGCGAACAGTCTCAAATATTGTGTCACCAATATGGTGAATATTTTTAATATTGTCTTTAATCTTCGTTTCTGATTTAATTATTTGTTGCACCGAACACGAAAGAATCAAATCAATCGATTTTGAATCTGTTATTCATAATTTACTTCCATTCAATTGGATCCGTCGCAGATGGAATTGCGTAATCGTGTACTCGTTAGCAATCAATTTCTAAAAATCGAAAAAAGGAGAGCATACAAAATTGCTTTATGATAGCATAATCGGACAAGATATACTTGCATATCTGAATTTGCATGTTCCTTGACACAATTGGTGCTCGTGTCCAGTGATTTATGAACGGTATCACGGCTTATGGTTCGATTCTAGAAAGTACTGCAAACGTTCGCACAAGCGAAGCGATTGTTAACGGATTATCGGTAGCAATGCGCCGGTGCGCGCGAGTGTTTATCATTAAACCTACCAGGGTCGGTCAAACGACCGGTTTCATATTTCTGATTTCATAATTATCGAAATCAGCAAAGCTGTTCCCATTAAAAATTGTCGAATATATTTTCTTATTCGGTCATACGTTGTCATCAAAATTGTGCAAAATTTGAACGAACTCTATTCTTATCAGGCAATTCTTGTTACTCGCTTTTGGACCTCGGTAGGTTTAGCGTGAAAACAGTGCGCCGAGGTTCCACGATTCCGGTTCATTGGATCTGCGAAGCTTCCCCGGCGGAAGCTCGAAACTTGGCAAGACCAAAGCCGACCTTTTGTGCCTCGGCGATCGCGCGGTACAGGTCGATAACATATCGGACGTGTCAAAGGGCGTAAGAAGCTATTCACGATCGGATCATGAATCGGTGGAATCCGATAGGCGATCGACTGTGCAGCCTGCGCCCTGTTAGATGACGAAGGTCGTCGACGATAGTCCGCGAACATAGCGGTGCCGCTCTTGCACCGGACTCGGCGAACGTTCTTCGGATCGATCCGAAGAAGACACGGACGTTTAATTGACGTTGGATCAACACGGGGATCGTTCCTCCAGAACGATCGCACAGTTTCGAATCTGAACGTTTCGTGTCTTGACTTTGTTTGCCGTGGAACGTCTGTTCGGCCGATGTCTCCAGGTGCACCGAGAGAATTGCGTACGCCGCTGCGTCGATATCAACGCATTTCTCAGGATTAACGTTAGACCCCGGTACCTAGATTCAAATCGTCGTTGAAAACCGTCGACCAAAACAAACGATACCTTTGCTCCAGAAATCAGAGCGGATTGCCAAGGAAAGGGTGAATCGTGATAGATGGTAGTCGATCGGGAATAGTTTGCAAAGTTAAAGGCGGCGGTAACTTGGCTACAATCGTTAAATTTATCCGGGCTTTACGAACTTTTGTAAACACCTCTGTTAGAGCAAATCGTTCGTTCGAGGTATATTTCGTTATCCCATGACCATTAACACGTTCCGTGCCGAGCTTTTTTTACTCGAATCTTCACACTTTGATATTTTACTAAAACTTGATGTATTACGTGCAATTATTAATTCTCGTACACATAACAACGTAACAGAAACTTATCAACGCCCATTCTTGCGGTGGAAATTGATTCTTCGGTTCTAAATTTCTTGTAAACAATTTGTTCAGTTCACTAAGTAAACATGCAAGCGTGTACC